TTAGCATAAGTAATATAAAGGCCTGAATACACAAGGAACTACCAGGAATAACCTCATGTGTCTAGTACTACATCATTTAGTTTGCCCAAATATAACCCCACTTAATCTTTCCAACTACCATTTAAACTAGAAATCATTTTCCTCACTTTCTAGCAGAGAAAACTGAAGCCCAGAGAGGTTAAGTAAACTACCTAAGATTACACAGAGGAGCAGACCTAGGATGTGTTCTGGCTCCAAAGTTGATGCTCATTCCACTCTTCTATATTGTATCCCTGAAGTTCCAGCTGATTAAATCATGACTCTTCTGAGACCCAGGTTAATACAGACTCTAATAGGATTAAATTGTACAAATAGCATGCTTAAAACTAAAGCAGATACGTTTAGGGAACACATTAAAACCTTTGATGTACTGTAAACCTCATAATAATCTTAGAATTTCCCATGTACCAGGTTTCATTGATTGTAGTGTGCAATCATTGACATTTTCCACATAGCATCTTCTAAGGTATATCCCATAAAATACTGTATTATTATTATTAACAACAACAAAAACTACAACTACCACAATTAAACTAAAACAAATCAAATTTACAGAGGGTTTTTTATAAGTTAGGCACTGGTTAAGTGATTTAAATGGACTATCTCATTAAATACTTAAAATGCTCTTTTGAAGTAGATGATTTTATCTTCATTTTATAAAAGAAAAAAAAAACAAGTCTTGGAGTAGTTATTCATCTTAGAAAAGGAAGTTATATTCTCAAATACATTTTGGACCAATTTAATTAAACCAAGTTGAGGCTTGGACGTCAGCATGATGATAGAATAGTTGGGCTTTGGCTCACATCTCCCACACAGAAAACAATCTGGCAGCCATTCACAAGCAACAGTGCATTTGTGGGAGATTTTGGATCTAGGGTAGAGGTTGTGAAACCCTGGTGAAGCCCCAAACTGAAAAGAGTTGGTTTGAGAATGAGGACCCATACCCTGGTATCAGGCTTGCCAAACATGGTCCTGGGAACAGACTGAAAACAGCCCCATCCTCTCCTTTTGATTGTAGTCCTAAAACTAGTTCCATCTACCACAGGGCTCTGTAAAAACCATGCCTGTCCACTTCCTGTTACAGCCCACTGTTGGCAAACCTGATCACAGATCCTGAAGTAGTCCTGTGAGCAACTCTAGCCCTGCTCTTGGGCCTAGCCACCTAGAGACCTAGAGAAAGGGCTTTTCATGATACCTGCCTCACGGTAAATTCTCCAGAAATATTAACTATTTTGCTATTGCCCATTTTTAATGTGAAGGATTAGAAAAGGAATTAGACGCATCTCTGCCTCCAGTAGCAGACTCACTGACTTCAGTTCCAACTGTGGATGCTGAATGCAGCTGTAGCTATGAACCCTGAAGTGGCCCAAAAACTTGGGTCCAGCCTTGCTCTACCCTGGTCCCAGAGTCATTCCTGTCCACATGGGGATTTGGCAGAAACCATGCCCATTTATGACTCCAATAACAGGTCTACCAACCCAGACCTGGCAACAGCCCCTTGACCTGGCTCTAGCCCCACTTAAATGGTGATCCCAGAAGCAGTTCCGTTAGTCTGGGGACCTGGCATAAGAACATTGTTACCTATTAAAACCATCCGTAAAGATGGTTTTCTCCTTGAGATGCATAGACATCAACATAAGGCCAGACCATGAAGAATCAGGCAAGCATGACAACACCGAAGGTAACTAATAATGCTTCAGTAACTGACACCAAAAAAATGGAGATCTACAAACTGACTGAAAATAATTCAAAATAATTGCTTTAAAGACGTTCAGCTAGCTACAAGAGAGCACAGATAAGACTCCATCGAAAACCTGTTATAACTAATAAGTAAATTCAGTGAAGTTGCAGGATATAAAATCAATATTCAAAAATCAGCTGTTTGTTTATACTAACAAATCACTATTCAAAAAACAAATTTAAAAACAATTTCACTTACAATACTATCAAAAACAAAATACTTGGGATTAAATTTAAGGAGATAAAAGATTTATATACTGAATACTATAAAATATTGATGAAAGAAATTGAAGAAGACAAAAATAAATGGAGATATAACCCATATTCATGGTTTAGAATGCTTAACATAATCAAAAGGTCCACACTACACAAAGCAATCTACAGGTTTAATGCAATCTCTATCAGAATTTAAATGGCATTTTTTCACATAAATAGATAAAATAATTCAGATGCAGAAAGAAAAACACTGCAAAATCTCACTTATATATGGAATTGTGAAAAGCTAATGTCATAGGAACAGAGCAGAAGAGTAGTTACAAGGGTCTGGGGGAAACGGGACCTAGGGAGATGTTGGCCAAAGGGTATAAACAAGCAGTTATAAGATGAATAAATTCTGGAAACCTAATGCTTAGCATGGGGACTATCATTAATAATAATACATTGTATATTTGAAATTTACTAAGGGAGTAGATCTTAAATGTTATCACACACACACAAAAGGTAACTGTGAGGTGATGAATATGTTAATTATTTAAGGGCTTCATTATGGTAATTTCATCACAATGTATAGGTATAACAAAAAATCATGTCATATACCTGTAGTATATACAAGTTTTATTTGTCAGTCATACCCCAGTAAAGCTAAGAGAAAAAACATGTTGAACTGGTTGCAGTACTTTTCAGAGCCTTAAATATGCTGGCGGACTCAATGAGTCTCCAAGAAGGGGACACTTATTTAGTGATTGCCAAATGTATCTGATATGGGATGCTTTCTCTACTGGCCATGTCTTTGGGAAATTCTGCCCTTCTCTGTCTGCTAACTTGTCTGTTCTCTCTGATGAAGCAGAGCTCTTATATTGTGCTTATGTGTTGCCTGTCTGATCATCTTTTAACAGGCCATGAAGTTTTTTCCCTTTCCCCAGAAGCTCTTTATGTTTGTTGACTCTAAGAGGGGTAGAAGGAAGTGTGAATTGCTTTTTATAGAGAACTGAGTCACTGATAGTTTGTACTTAACATATGAGGCAGTGGTTGTCTCTTTCCTTAGGAGACATAGAGCTTAGGTCAGAAAAAGAAGATCAATGATGCTCTCCCTCTTGCAAACCACAGAAGAAAGAATGGAAAACATGAGTTTGTAAAGGTTGTGAATGTAAATGATGATATGGGAATATTTAACCCTTAAGTAAAATTGTGGGCAGGTATGATTTTTAAAAATCCATTCTCAGTTAACTTCAGATGACACTTGCCAAACATTTCTTATACCCAGTATTATGCTAAAGATAATGTGGAAACTAATGAGTGTTTTTGTTCCCTGCCCTCAAAGACCTTATGATTATAAGGGTACATGCAAAGAGTAATGAGGGGAATATAATTATTTAAATCTTCCTATTTTTAGATTAGATATATTTATAATAAATGTAAAAATTAAGAATTACCTGCTTGGAAATTGATTGCCTTTGCCACTTAAAATCCATTTTCTGAACTTCTAGCCTTAAGATAATTATGTAAAATCAACCTCCTCCTTTGAAAGTCACTCCCAGAACATCATGGAATACAGCAATACAAATTCCATCTTGTATCAAATCATCTTCCATTAAATTAAATATATACCTCCCAAAGTATAACGTATGAAGACAGAAGGCAGATGTAGGGATGGCAGATGACTAAGCAGAGTACAGTCATCATTTACTCAGGTGTCAGATTGCCCTGAAGAGCCTCATAAATGCTTAGGAATTGAAGGAAACTGTTTTTGATTTTTTTTTTTTTTTCAGATGGTGGTAGTCAAGTGGTGGCTAAAAATAGGGTGATATTTTAAATGTCAGTGGGGGGAGCAATTGTGCCTGCAGTTCTCTAGATTCCTGCTTCCATGACCCCTCACAAGTTGGAAAGAATGGCCCCTGATAGAATTAAACCATAGAAGCTTTAGACTTGGAATTCCAATCACAAAGGAGGGTAGAGGGAAGGCGTAAATGGAAAATAGAGAGCTAAGTGAAAGCCTGCCTTTTACAATAAGCTTCATAGGCCCATCCCTCTGTTTAATTCAAAGCTATTACAAATGGGTTTGTACCCTTAGCCCCACACAAAAGACGAGGATTTCTTATCTGGAGAAACTGAATGACCCCCTAGAAAGATGTGCTTGGGGGAATACCAAATAAAATATTCAGCAGGCCATGAAATCTAACATTAGCCCACCAGATGATAAACCTCAACCATGCACACAACATTTTCCTTAACTTCTTTTAGCACCTAACTAAAAAAAAAGAAAAAGAAAGTCAAGGATCACCAAATGTTCAAGGGAAGCATCAATTTATGAAAGAAAGTTAAACTAACAAATATTAGAATAAACAAAGACAATGCAAAGAAAGAAGACTTAAAAGAAACTTTTTAAAAAATCTTCAAGTAGATAAGACAGTGTATCTGTGAAACAAGAAAAAAATACCCATAAAAATTTTCTCAGAATTAAATACTATGATGGTTTAAAAAATAGTTAAAGTGTTAGAATATATAGAAAGGAAATCTCTCCCTCCAAAAACAATAACAATCACAACAAAAAAATAAAAGGTGGACATCTGGGGGTAAGCGATAAGAAAATTAGAATCCCTATTCAGTAGCCCCATTTGTTGATTAATTAAAATTCTAGAGGAAGGGAATTGAGGATATAGCAGAAAGACACTTGGTTTGGTTTCCATTGGAAGCTGACTCTTAATTATGGATTTGAGTTCAAGTCATTTTGGAGAAATAATCCCAGGAACAATAGTAGGATTGTAGGGCGGTGAAACAAGAAGGAAAGAAAGCTAATAAAGCCAATTAGGAAGGAAAGAAAGCTATCAAGTCAATGATTTTGATAGGCTACTGGAGTTCAATCCAGTTAGGAGAGTTTGGAATACGCATGAGAGTTATCAAAACAAAAGATGAGGCAGCTGTGGCATTAATCCACCACTTCTCTTATGCCACTGTTTGAGGGAAGCTCCCAGGGATATTTGGCTCATTCTTAGGCAGGCTGAATATGGTCCCCATGGCCAGTAAAGAGGAAAATCTCTTGTGCATGCAGTTACAGAAGTTCAAAGTCAGCAAATAGGTAAGTTTCTTAGGTCCTCTGTAGCAAATTACCACAAACTGGGTGACTTAAAACAACTGAAATTTATCTTCTTACAGTTCAGAAGGCCAGCCTGAAATCAGTATATCAGCATCGTTGGTTCCATCTAAAAGCTTGGAGGGAGCAATCATTCCATGTCTCTGTCCTTGCTCCTAGTGATTTTTGGCACTCTTAGGCATTCCTTGGCTTTATGGACACATACTTTTATTTCTGCCCCTGTGTGTCTCTGTATCTCTGTGTGTCTCTGTATCTCTATGTGCCCTTTCCTTTTCTTATAAGGAAACCAGTCTTCGGATTTTGGAGCCATCCTAATCCAGTATGATCTCATCTTGATCCTTCACTAACTGCATCTGCAAAGACTCTGTTTCCAAATAAGGTCACCTTCTCAGGTTTCAGGTGAACATGAATTTTGAGGGATACTATTTAACTATAGTAGCCTTTTGCATGGAGATGATAATGGTTAGGTGATATACACAGGGAAATACTACAAATTTATCAAAGAATAATATAAGAAAATTTTTAAGGTCTTGTGAAAACATGATTTAAAGAACTCACTAAGTACACATCACAATAAAGGTAAAGTTGTCAGAATCCAAATGGACTCACTAATGTTAAGAAAACTCTAACACATAGAGCTAGGGAAGGCTACAAAGAGAGAGTTCCCAAACTTATTTGCCTGACAACAAAAACTATCATGAAAGGCTGCAAAAAGCACAACTTTGCACAAAGGTCATTGCAAACTTACATAAAAATACTTTGCAAAGACATCTACTCAGCAACCACCTGTTCAACTTGGGACTGGCATCACCATTTTTATTGATTTTTGTAGCCAAGAATAATTGTTTCAGAACAATTATGTAGTCCTCCTAGTTTTTTCCTTTAAAAAATTTTGTTTTCCTTTGCTTCTCTAAATAAACACATATAATTTTCTATGGCATGTGTATTTCCATTGCAATATTCTAATCCTAAATATACATGTATAACAAATAGGGATTATAATTATATATTTAATATATATAATACATATATAACAAATACATATAAATAACACAGAGGCTCTCTAAATATATATATATTTATACTTAATTATGATAGAATTAAATTTTTGCAATTTTTTACTATTAAATGCAAATACATATATATACATATATACACATACACACACACATATATATATACAATTTTTTAGAGAGTCTCTGTTTATTTAGGTTGTCACTATCATAACATTTCAGGAGACCAGAGAGAAAAAGAAGAAAATGCAGTTCTACAGAGTGAATGCAGGGACATTTCTCACACACACACACACACACACACACACACACACACACATATTTGTTTATCTGTTTATTTGGGAATCAGAATGACGTAGGATTCCCAATAACAACATTGAAAACTGAGACAATGAACCAATAGCTTCAAAATTCTGGGAGAAAATTATTTTCAACTTAGAATTTTATGCCTTCCAAACTATCAATCAAGCATGAGGATAAGAAAAAAAATACTTTTTTAGACTTTCATATTTCAAAATAATTGCCTCTGATGAAGCCTTTGTTCAAGTAAAAAGTGAGAATGGACTAAACCAGAGGAAGAAAATCCAGAAAAGAAGACATCCAATGCAGATTATGGGAATTTCCAAAATGGTGACTGAGAGAAAACCTGGGGTTCAAGTCATGTTACCAAGATGGTGTTTCAGATTGGAGCAGAATAGTAAACTTAAAAAGAAATGCCTTCAAGGAAAGACTGAAACCAAGACACTACAAGTTTGGCATTCGAAAAGTTGAATTGAAAAGTATTTTGAAGAGTTGTTAGAAGGTGTGGAAAGAGTTCATTGATGTATATAAAACTGAACAATAAATATTGAAGAATCAGTTTTAACTCCAGGTGAAATAAAAGTGGTATAAGAAATTAAATGTAATGATGGTATACCACTTGGCTGAGCGTTGAGAAATATTTGCAGAGTCAAAATAATAAAAAGACTGATGTACAGCTAATCAAAAATTGTGATAGAATATGACTGAAATGGTAAAGAAAAGGAGAATGGAATGTAATAGAACTAAAATCTTCATCTTCCTAAAAAGAAGTTGGTAGACGATGTCTGAATTTGAGGATTCAAGAAAAAGTAGTGTCAGAATGTTTTTTAAAGAAATATAGGGTAATGACCAGAAGAAATAGCTAAAGGGTTTTAAGTCACTGCCCCTAGGAGATTAAGAAATCATAAGTAAATGTGTCTTGGAATTGTTGAGTATGTCTTGGTAATTTGGGGTTTCCGGTTCTGTTCTTTGAGCCCCAGGTTTCTGGAGCCCTTCTTCTAATTCTGTGAGCTGCCTCAGTTTCTTCCCTGACAATTCCCAAAATGATCTTTTTGTTTTGTTTTGTTTTTTGTTTTTTAAGCAACAAGGTTCAGCTTTTATTTTCACAGGTTGTTACCTGCAAAGAGGGTACAAAATCTATTTTATCCTAACAAATTTAGGTTAGAATTTAATTTGCTCTTACAAGTCTTTAGGGAAATATTTTTTGGGGGTCAAATGTGTACCTGTACATAGTATATTTATGAATGGTGTTCTTAATTTTTAATTCAGTTCCTTTATAAGTTATTTTATAATTGGTTACTCTTTTCAACCAGTTGCTTGTCCTTATATATGCAATTTGTCTTTTAAATATATATATATATATATATATTTTTTTAATTGCACTTTAGGTTCTGGGGTACATGTGCAGAACATGCAGGATTGTTGCATAGGTATATACATGGCAATGTGGTTTGCTGCTGCCATCCCCCTGTCACCTATATCTGGCATTTCTCCCCATGTTATCCCTCCCCAACTACCCTACCCCACGTTGTCCCTCCCCCATGCTGTCCCTCCCCCAGACCCCCTCAACAGACCCCAGTGTATTCTTTTTCACTTAACCGACTTTTAATTAAAATTTCATTACAATGTAGAGTCCAAGCTATTGCAATGACAGATATGGATTCCATAAATGTATCTATTCTGACAATTCCCTTTAAAACGTTAGTCCTGATCCATGCCTAATGTACAGTGTGTCCTATATACTGTGTAGACCAAGATCTTTATTATGGCATGAAGTTAGCCATATTTGGGCACCCGCCCCAGCTTACCTCCCATCGTTCCTAATCTCATGTCACACTCCAGTCACAGTGAGCCTCTTTTGGTTCCCTGACTCCGCTCTCATTCCTGCTCTTATCCCCATTATATCCCCCCCGACCCTCACCACCACCATGCTTTTTATAACTGCTGTGTTTTTTACATAGGAATAATTCTTACTTATTTTTCTAGACTTAGCTGAATTGTCCCCTCCCTCTGCCTTCTCAGATTTAGTAAATTGGCCTTAGTAATTCTCAACCGTGTGGCTCAGTGTTAGCACTTAAAACATTGCATTGTAATTTTGCAATTCTACTTTTGTATTTTCCTTTAGACAAAAGCAAATTCTTAAAGACTAGAACTGTGAAATAATCATCTTTGTACCCCCAGCACTTGTAGTTGTTGCTCAATAAATGTATATTAAACTGAACAACTTAACTTTTGTATACACAGCAAAGATGAATGGGATTATGCTGGTATTTCAGTTATCCACTGCTGCAGAAAAACCACCCCTGAATGCAGTAACTTAAAACAGTGTGATGGTTAATTTTAGGTGTCAACTTGACTGGATTCAGGGATATCCAGATAGCTAATAAAGCATTATTTCTGGGTATGTCTGTGAGGTATCTCCGGAAGAGATTTCTATCAGTGGACTGAATAAGAAAGACCTGCCCTCAGTGTGGCCGGGCAACATCTAATCAGCTGAAAGCTTGGAGTAAATGAAAAGGCAGGGGAAAGGTGAATTTGCTTTTTCTCCTGGAGCTGGACACCCTGTTTTTCCTGCCTGTGGTTATCAGAATTCTGCGTTCTGTGGCATTTCAACTGGAAAACTTGCACTAGTAGCCTCATAGTTTCTCAAGGCTTTGGCCTTAAAACTGAGAGGTACGACATTCTCTTCCCAAGTTCTGAAGACTTCAAATGGACTGAGACACACTACCAGTATCCATGGTTCTCCAGCTTGCAGATGGCCTATTATGGGACTTCTCAGTCTTCATAATTATGTAAACCTATTTCCCTAATCTTCTCTCATCTATCTACCTCTATGTATCTCCTGTTGGTTCTGTCTCTCCAGATAACATCAACTAATACAAACAGTAAACACTCATTTTCTTATGATTCTGAAATTTGGGCATGGCACGTGGGTACAGCTTGTCACTGCTTTATGTGGTGTTGTCTGGGGCCACACGTGGCCTCATTGAGGTGAGAATTCAGTGAGAACTGGAACATCTGAAATAGTTTCACACATGTGTCTGGCACATCAGCTGGGATAGCAGGAATGGCACAGGCTGGCTGGCCCTACCTCCCTGTCTACAAGGATCCATGCGGTGCCCCATCAGTTAGTTATATTGCCTGAGTTCCTTTACACGGGATCCCAAGAGAACAACAACAAAAATCTGCTAAGATTCTTAAGACCTTATTTCAGAATGTATAGTGTCATTTCTGTTACACTCTGTTGATCCAATCAACTCACAAGGCCAGCCCAGATTCAAGGGAGAGAGAATAGTTTTCACCTCCTGGTGGGAGGAGTGACATGTGCCTTCAAGGATGGCAGCTGTTGTGTTCATCCCGACAAACAATCTGCTTTTGATAATTCCATTGTGTAGCTAAAACAGATAATTTCATTCTTAAATTTTTGAACTAAAATTTTTTTTTGTGGGTGACATTATTAGATTACCATTATATAAACCAAACAGTGTGATTGGGGAGGAGGCACCTTGTTTGTAGAAATTATTATTTTATTTTTATTTCAAAGATAAAAATCAATCAATCAATAAATCATGATATTTTACTAGTGATGCTCAGCCATGAATGGCTATGTCTGCATTTTAGACATGTCCATTACACTAATTAAAATCTATATGGGCTGGGCATGGTGGCTTATACCTGTAATCCCAGCACTCCAAGAGGCCAAGGTAGGTGGATCTTCTGAGGTCAGGAGTTTGAGAGCAGCCTGGCCAGCATGGTCTCTACTAAAAATACAAAAATTAGCTGAGTGTGTTGACAAGTGCCTGTAATCACAGCTACTCAGGAGGCTGAGGCCGGAGAATTGCTTGAACCTGGGAGGCAGAGGTGGCAGTGGGCCGAGATGGCACCACTGCAATCCAACCTGGGCAACAAGAGTGAAACTTCATCTCAAAAACAATAAAATAAAATAAAATCTAGTATGGACACAGCTTTTTAATTACTTTCTATCATTGCTGCAGTCAATGAAGCCAGCTTTATTATCTACTATAACACCTCACTTGTAATAGATCTTTATAAAACCTGAAAAGAGGCCAGGCGCGGTGGCTCAAGCCTGTAATCCCAGCACTTTGGGAGGCCGAGGCGGGTGGATCACGAGGTCAAGAGATCGAGACCATCCTGGTCAACATGGTGAAACCCCGTCTCTACTAA